GATCCTGCCTTTATCTGAACATGGCAGGCAGGGTGTGGCTCAGTCTGTTATTTAACTAACTGCTCACATCTATGCTGAATAACAGCAGCAAGGCCACAGCATTTGCCTCTGCCACTTGTGGGAATCTACAAGGATGGAGGACAGGTGAGTGTGGGTTCTCATGCTATGTGTGAGGCTTGCAGCAAGTGCCTGTGGCTGCCTTGCCCATAACTGACCTGGACAAGGTGAAAGCAGTTCATGGCTGTTTAGGCTCTGTGTGCCAAGTATGCGACTGTATGTTCTGGTCTGAAGACACACCACTGAAGTGGCAGGAAATGGTCACCCACCTCTTACTTAAGGCATAGAGCTTAATATTTAGATTTTAGCAATGTCTAGCTATGTGGGCCCCTAGCTGTTCTTCCCTGTTTCTGCTTTGTTCTTTTCAGCCTCAGGGAGTCAATGTACCCTCCAGGGACCACTGGGACTTGCTCTCGGTGAGACATGGAGGAAAATGCCCTTGGTAGTGACTTGCAACACAGCTGTGCCTCCAACCTCCTGGATCCTTGAGCTGTAGTGGACAAAGAATCCAAAGAATGGGCCACAGTGGGAGGGGCATCCAGGGCTCCAGGGCTTCATGTACAGATAGCAAGGGTCCTATGGGAGACAAAACTGGGGTAAGGGAATTTTGTTAAATGAGAGGGCTGTGGGTTGTGATGTAGTGTGTGTAGTGCTTCTGGAGCCCCTGGAGTCAGTGTTGCATGTGAACTTGGGCTTGTTTGGCAGGATAAAGACTATGTGATTGTGGTTCTGATACCATGCCTGAGGCTTTTAGGAAGTGCCTATGGCCGTCCTGCTCAGAGATGACCCAGGAAGGGGCAGGGCTGGGCTCTCAGGCTAAGCCTGTGACAGTGGTGACCAGCGGGGCAAAGACAGCTCATGACTAGGCTGTATGTATCAAACCTATGACTGGCTGTTCTGGTCCAGAAATACCCCACTGATATGACAGGAGATCTGCTAGAATCTGTTTTAGACTGGCCTGAGGGGCCAGCCCCTGGGCTGTACATCAAGAGCATAATATTTATAAGGTTGTCACTTAGTTCTTAGGGTATCTTTCACCTTTCTCTATAAGGAGCTGCCTGGATTCTGTCTCTCCACTGTGTGCTATAAACTCCCCTTAGGCCTTCCTTGTCTCTGGGGCCTGAGGCCTGGATGGACCTGGTGATGCTTTGTTGAACTCACCCTCTGCACCATTCGTCAAATGTTTGCTTAGTCAGTTAGCATTTATCCAGCACCTTCTTTACACCAGTCCTATGCTATACCTAAAATAGGGAACTCTGGGAATAGCTGTTGCTGTTGGGTTGCAAGACAAATGAAAACAATAAGTGAAAGTGGGTGACAGCTAGATTGGACAGATTCTCCAGAAAGAAGACCTGAGTGTCAGGAGGAGGTAAAGAGGAAAAGATGTTCCTGGAACACCCCACTGTCCCCAAGAATTATGAGCAGCTTCAGAGCATGATGGGAATAGAGGTTGGAACAAACTCTGACTGCCACCTCATTAGATAGGTGGCCTCTTAAGGGGATGAGAGGGGGAGGGAGAGAGAGAGAGATACACACAAACACAGAGATAAAGAGTGTACATGAGTACACACACCACAGCTCCTTGGTGGAGGTCAATGTGTTTGAATTCAACACAGAAGGAGTGTGCATTTGGTTTTAAGAAGCAAATTCATGATTATAGTTTTATACTTGGTCAAAAAAGGGAATGCCTGCCACTTTTGTAACAGTATCTCAGTTTGACTAAGTTTTGACTAAAAGAGCAGGAATTAAAGACGCCAGCTCGATGCCCCTGTCAAAGGGTGCTGGGTTTTCAGCAGGACCGTGGCAGGCAGGGGCCAAGTTGCAATTTTCGGGCACTGACTGTCATCCAGTTGGACAGTGGTCAGGAGACAGGAAGGGTCACACAGGCCACCTCCAATTGAGGGACAGAGGCAAAGAGACATAACATTAGAAGAGCTCTGTGCTAAAATCTATGGGGCAAGGAGAGGGAAGAGTCAAGGTTGCCTCTCTGGTATATTTAGTGACAATGGCTGGTTAGAACAGAGAGGTAGACCCAGCCAGGCACAGAGAGGCCATGGTATGCACTGGACAGAGCCACAGGACATTGGGCAGGTGATATTAAGATGACAATGGAATGTATGGGTGGAAAAGGTCCTTTAGAATTTTTGTGCCTGAGTACCCCTTCTCTTGGGCAAGCATAAATTGTGAGAGACCCTTCATGCCTTACAACCCAGCTTGGTGACATATCAAGTGTGGGTGGCCTTGGGGTGCCATGTGTTTCAGCTAAGTCACCTAACAGTGTCAGTGTATCAAGTACCTCTTCTCCATAACTTGAACTCTGTAGTCCACTTTACTCTTTGCTTCCCAGCTCTCTGGGGACTGGAAGCTAGATGTAGAGGTGTCTTGGTTAGTTCTATGTCTGCTGAACACAAGCTAGAGTCATTTGCTAAGACCGGCTGTTAATTGAAAAAAAATACCTCCATCCAGATTGCCTGCAGTCATGTTTATAGAGCATTTTCTTGATTAATGATTGATGTGGGAGGGCACAGCCCACTGTAGGCATTGCCAGCCCTGGGCAGGTTGTCCTGGATTGTATAAGATATCAGGCTGAGCAAGCCACAAAAGCAAGCTACTAAGCAGTATTCCTCCATGGCCTCTGTGTCAGTTCCTGCTTCCAGACTCCTGCCTTGAGTTCCTGCCCTGACTTCCCTTGGTTGCTTTTGGACATGGTATTTATCACAGCAATAGAAATCCCAGCTGAGTCAGGGGACCTCTTGAGGCATGTATCAGGAAGCCACAGGAGCTGGTGCTGCTGGGAGTGCTCTGACCAATGCAAAGCCATCCTTAATCTATGCTGATCTCCTGCCTGTTCCAGCCTAGTGCAGCCTGACTCTGCAGTCTGTGCTTAAGCAGAGTTGTCACTGAGTGAGAACTCAGCTATTTTACTTCAGTCAGAGGTGAAACCATGACTTCAGGCACAGGGCTCTAGAGTACTGAGACTGGGGAGACAGATGTCTACCTCCTCATCACTTCTGGGGTGAATTCTTTACTGTACATAAGACAGTGATCAGATTCCAGAAATTCAAGTCTTACTGAGTTCTGATCTCTGAGGCAGGACTAATTCTTAGGGAGGGCATCAAGGGTGTTAGCAGTTCCATCATGAGATCAGTAATGAAGAAAAGGCTCCAGAGGGCACAATAGTGGCTATGACACTTCTATAGCTAAAATAATAAATAAAGTCACCGTTAAGTGGTCACCAGCCAGTGACAGGCATACTAAACATGGTGCCTGGCCTTTGGAAGCATTTCCAATCCCTGAGCCTCATGGCTGTCCTTTGAAGACTGTAGGGTACTGAGATGTAAAGCTCTAATCCCACTGGCTGGGCTGCAGAGGGAGCTGTCTAGGGGAGCACAGGCATATGCACCCCCCCAAATCCATTCTTCCTGACTCCTCACTGAGGGGCCAAGCCCCAGATGGCTCCTTCTCCAGCATCAGGACAAGGAAGGAGCAGAGTCAAGCCATAGCTTTAGGTGGGGCATACAGGGGAGGTTGGCCCTAGGTGAGACAGCCAAACACCTGGAAGTCTCCAGGCAACAAGACATCCAGGTAAAAAGAGCTCTCGGCTACACACACACACACACACACACACACACACACACACAGATCTTTGAGGATCTTTGGCCCAGAGTTTTTGCAGGAGTGTCAGTTGTCAGCAGGTTTCCCCTTTAGATGATTCAACTGGGTCCATTCCTTCTTTGCATTCTATGTGAAGTTATTTCCAATCCTAGATGATCCCACTTTCCTGGGGTGTGATATCCTTCAGACTGTTTCTGTCTCTGGGGAGTGATCCTCAGATTCCTCACCCCAGTACCTGTAAGCCCAGTGGCTGTTAGTAAAGCATTTTGGGAGGTCTTGGGCCATAGTCTTATCCCCTGGCACTATATTCTGCTTCTCCCACTCTCAGAGCAACTGTAATGGCTGCCTGCTCTTCCTTCTTCCTCCCTTCCCTCTGCCTCTTCCCCTCCTTTCTTACCTCTTCTCTTTCTTCTCTCCCTGACTTCCTTATCCCCCCTCCTCCTCTTTCTCCTATCTCCCCCTTCCTCCTCCTGTCTTTCTCTTCTTCTCCTCCACCTTAGACCTTCCTTCCTCCCTTCCTTCTTCCCTGCCCTCCTTGCCTCCTTCCTTTCCTCCCTCCTTCCTCAGCCTGCACCCAGAAAACGGAGTTTTAAAGGAAGTTCAAGTCCAGTTCTAAAGGTGTTGGGAGCCTTCTTAACTTGTTGATACTCGTGCTTAGCATTTATATACTTATTTCCATATCATTTTTAAGGGGGTCCTATCATCTGTGGGCAAGGCAGGTGAAAAGCCTTAGTGGTGATGAGATGGCTGGTTGGGATTGGTATATGGAAGTCCATTCCATCATGCCATGAGTTCAGAGAGCTTAACTCTCTCCTATTGTCTCTAAGACATTAGTTTAACTGCTACAGGATGCCTGGGTCTTGGTGGTGAATGGCTTCTATCTAAATAACAATAGACTTAGGCCCAGACTGTTTTACCCTCATCCTGAAGGCTATGGAGTACCTGAAGGCAAAGTAGTACCAGCAGCTACAGAATGTCTTTAGGATTAAGGGAAGTAATTGCTATTTGCCCTTTATACATAATAATAGAAGTCTTCTGTTGTTGTCCCCATCTTTGGTTGATTACTTAAGTTGGTGTATAAATAAACTGGGATGCATTCAGTATGGACTGAATCTGTCCTCCTATGTCTCTGTCTTCCCTTTATCACCTATAGGTATCCTTTCCCTTATCTACACACCCCCAATCAAGAGCAGACCTGGGACTGATTGGCTGGTTCCAACTGCAGCCGCAAAAAAACGTAGCCCCCAACATATGACACAACAACATGGGGTGATAACAGATGCAGCTGACAATGGTCAAGGATCTGATGTCTGTCCTTTTGTTGGCAGTTTCAACCTGGCTGTGTGACGTGTGGCTGTGCCAGCTTTCCTAGTTGTGAAGACCTGGTACTGAAGACAGACATTGGACAGGCCTGATTCAACCCACTGGTAAGTGCTTGGTGTCCTTTGAAGGCCATGGTGGAAGCTAACTGAGGGTGATGGTTCAGATACTCATGTGGCCCCTCCTCCCTTATCAGCTGCTTCTACTGGTGGGACATCCTCTCATGCCACCATGAAAATCTGAGTGTCTACAGTCTCCCTCTGCCCAGCTTATAGAGGGAGCTTTAATGCAAAGGCATGGATCATTTGTCTTTTAATAAAACTCAACCTCTGGGGGGAAGGGAGAGTCAGAGGGACAAAGAATGGGGATATGTGCATGTTTATAGTGTAGAGCAGAACCCCTTAACTTCTCCTTGTGTTCCATGTCTGATCTTTTGGGTGAGCAGACTCTCCCTGGAAGCTAGCTGAGGCCCACCCATAGCACTCACCTTTTTTAAGCACAAACTCCAGCTCATGATGAGTGATAACAAAAACTCCTCTTTTGGACACTGGACAAATTCCAAAGGAGTTTTGAATCTTGTTACAGGAACTGGGGCAGCATCCAGAAGCTTGGCCCAGTGATCTCTGGGTTGATGCATCATTTTCCTTTCTATGTCCCTGTGCTAATAGAGCTCAAAATCGAATTGGTTCCTTCTGCTAAAACACATCATTATACCTGTTTAGAGTGCACCTGCTTACTGATGAATCACTGCCTTTCCTCGTGAAGTTCCTAATGGAAGAAGACCACACCCCCTCAGAGGCACCTAGTAGGACTATAGACAAAGATATGATCACAGTTGCCTATCTTAAATATTCACATACCAAACTTTATTATCCCTTAACTGATGCAAAGTGGTTATATGACCTGGTCAAGGACTACACATTTCTAAATGGCATTGCTGAGATTTGAACCCAGATGGTTTTGTTTCAGTGTTGCTACCTTTACCCACTAAGCCATCTTCAGGTAACTGATCACCACCACCACTGGGGAAGGGAGTTGCAGAAGGGGTATCTCACTTCACAGAATCCCTGGAGACAGAGTTAGAGCCATCCTCATGGGAGCACATCTGGAACCATGGGTACACTCTGAGCAGGGAAGATGGCCAGAGAGCAGGCAGCTGCTCAGCAGTGGAGATGGGAGGACACGTATCTTTCTGCTAGGCAGAAGGGACCAAAGTAGAGCTCAAGACCAGCTGTGCTGGGCCACAGTACTCCAGGCCCAGGGAAGCAGAAAGTGGTGTGCTTCTGGAACTGGTGGCCTAGACAGAGTTCTAGGAGGATGTGTGTTAGGGTGTAGGTATGTCCATGGTCATACCAGGGTATTAATGGGGCAGACGTGCTTGCTTCTACTTTTAAAATGCCCACAGCCTCAAGGCTTTTAAAGTTCCATGGAGAATGGCTTTCTACAGTGGTACCAGGTAGAGTAATGTCAGCTGAGTGGGAAGGACCCATAGGAGAACTTCTGGCCACAGCCCAGAGAATCTGCTACCCCACATATCTTCATAGCTTGGATGGTATGTTCTCTGTTCCTGTCTTCCCATTTCCTCATACCCCCAATGTCCAAGGATGAGCTGAATGGGGGAATAATGGAGGCACAGTGTTCGGTGCTGGCTTCTAGGGCTGGGGAGGCAGGAAATTACCTGTCTCAGGACATCCATATCCTCCTGTCTCTTCTATGTGGATCCATTACTTTTCACTATGTACTACACTCCAGCCCACTACAATAAGGTTGGCCTTTTACCAAAGTGCATGGGTATCGGTGCAGCTTCTGCTCTACTCTGTAGGGACTCAACACAGAAAGACTCAGAAAAGTTTACAGGCTATGTTTCCACTCCACCCAGGATGTCTCCTCTAACACTCCTGTGTAACCAGTTAAGCTGGACCCTTATTTGCACAGCACCTGTTGGTGTATTAGCAGCCTCTATGGGTCATCATCCCAGGAGGCAAGTAGCTACAGGGCATGGTGAATCACACCACCCTTTGCCACGGCAAGCAGTTGGCCACTAGGAACACAGCTTGTGTGTGCTCATCTGTCCTGCTACAGGGTTCCAGGAGTGGATTGACGCCCTAGCAGGACCATGAGCGAGGACACGGTCCCTGAGGCAGCCTCACCACCACCCTCTCAAGGACAGCACTACTTTGACCGGTTCTCTGAGGATGACCCTGAATACCTGCGCCTTCGCAACCGTGCAGCTGACCTGCGGCAGGACTTCAACCTGATGGAGCAGAAGAAAAGGGTTACCATGATCCTGCAGAGCCCTGTGAGTGGGCAGGATGGGGAGGGCTGGTTTCCCAGGGACCCGAAAGACCGGTGGCTCCTCTTCCCTCATCCAGGGTCTTGATAGTTTAGGCTTGCTGGATGAGATGGGCTTGGCCATGTGGGCGTTTGATTACCTCCTTAACCACTGGTCAAGGACAAGCCTGGGGGAGTGCATACATTCTGGTTCAGAAAGTGGCAGAGATAAGACCCTTGCCCCAGTTTACTATGCCACATCTGAGTTTCGGTTTCCAGTTCTCCTTTCCTGCAACAGTCAACAGATAGGACTACCTAAACTGAAGAATGGATCACCATGGGGTTGGCCTAGGGTACCCTCTGCTGAGTAGCATGGAGTATTCTGCTCACTGTAGGGCAAGTAGAGTTTGAATGTCTAGCCAGGAAGGGAGTTAAGAGGAGCAATGAGACAGGAGTCAACCTGACCTAGATACCCCGAGTCTACAGAACTGGGTGGATTGGTACCAGCCTCAGAGCTCATTCCCCAGGTAGGCAGTACACGGAAAAGATTGATGGCTGATGAGTAAGAGTGCTGCTGGCCTTTGGATAGGAAAGAAGAGCAGGGGAGGGTGGTGGGAGGAGTAGGAGGATGGTGCTTGAGGCTATGCAGGACACAGGATGGGAAGTCCAGGGAGGAAGCAGACTTCTCTAGGGCCTTTTGAAACATGGCCCCCAATTATTTATCCCTAGTGCATGAATGGAGTCCATTCCCTATGGAGGGATACTCTCTCAGACTAGATATACAGGGGGAGGGCCTAGGCCAGGAGCACAGACTGCTTTGAGGAGTGGGAAGGAATGAGTCTAGAGTCTTTGTGATGTTATGTCAGGAGCCTGGAGGAAGACATCAGGTTCTTAAAGGCCTTGGAGTAAGACAGCCCCCAGACATGCAAAGAGTCACCAGGAGGGGTGACAGAGCAGCACCAGCCATCGTTAGTGGGTGAGGCAGAATATGGGGACCCTCAGTCTCATATAGCTGCCTATCCTTATCCCTTCCATGCTTCCTCCTACCACAGTGTAGTGGGCTGAAACCTGAGCTTAGCGTAGTTCTTCAGAGTGGAAGCTGCTGCAGAAGACCTCTGGTCCTTCCCCATCTCCTCCTATTCAATCACTAAGGATACAGAGAAATTGAGACATGTGAGAAGAGTCCTAGATGTGCTAGTGAAGAAGGGAGGGTGGCATACTTTCTCATTCAGTTCATTCTATCTAAACGTGAAGTCCTACTCTGCCTGGTATGGCCTTGACCAACACTCATACAGAAGGGAGCTGGAATCTGGTCTACCCCTACAGAAAATGGGTACCCAGGTCCACCCCCAGAGTCTTCTTAAAACCTATACAGCAATCTGAGGAGGGACCTGAGGCCCTAGTGAACCCACATCTGGGTAACTTTCAGGGTCTTTGGCCCTTCCTGAAGAGCTGGACGACCAGCTCCCTGGAGAGTTGCAGGAACTGTCCTCCTCTGAGGAGCTATGGGGGAAGGGTGGAGATCATCCCCTGTGCAGAGATCAGGGAGTAGCTCCTCCTGGCTTGCTGTGCTCTCAGCTCCTGGGGATCTGTAGGGTCCTCCGTCCCATGAGGAGCCTGGCACCAATCCCTAAAGACCTGTGGGGTCTCAGCCTCCTGTGGGGACCTGTGGGCCATCAGCTCTCCATGAGGACTGGGCACCAGCCCTTCGATCTGCTGCAGTCTTTCAGGGAGGAGCTGGAAGGTCTCATCCAGGAGCAGATGAAGAAGGGCAACAATTCCTCCAACATCTGGGCACTAAGGCAGATCGCGGACTTCATGGCCAGCACCTCCCAAGCAGTCTTCCCAGCTTCTTCCATGAGTATGTGGTTGTCTGGGTGTCTGCCAGGAGCAGAGGAGGAAGGAGGGAGGGAAAGGAGGAGGAAGCACCAGGAGCAGCTTGGTTGCTAGGCAATGGCCAAGCTGCAGTTGCATTATCAGGCCTGGGTAGAGAGATGCCTGGCTCTGCTTCTGATGTTGTGAATTAAAGACCCACATTGTCAGTGATAGCAGGGATGGGAAGGGTGGAGGTGACTTCAGGGGATGAGAAGAGAAGAGGGGAATCAGGACACCAGCCAGGATAGTAGCTATTGAGCTGTGAGAGATGCTATGGCTATGTGGGGCCTCTCTTCCTGGAATATGCAGCTCACCCACAGCCTGGAAGCTGCCCTCATTCCATATGACTCAGACATGTAGGGTGATGGCTGGAGCTAAGGAAAACATTAAAGAAAGAGAAGCCAAAGCCCACTCCTGAGTTCTAAGAACTCCAAAATCACTATCAGCACTATTTTGATGTGTCTTTCCAACTTTTTTCTTTTAATATAGGTAGCTTATTGAAAGCAAGAATACATTACACATATAATTTTAATGGCATATCAACTAAAAATCTGCTTTAAAAATATGGTTCTGCCATATGATTTTTGTGGTTATATGCCATTGAATTAATTGCTCCATTAGACTTTTAGATTGTGTTCAGCTTTTTGATGTTATGAACTACAGTGTGGTAAACGTCCTGGTAAATAAATTTGATACTGTATGCACAATTGTCTTTTAAAAATAAATTATAATGAGAAAAATGATGAAATAGCTGAGCTGTCTTCTGAAGATAAATTGTGAGAATTGCTAGAGGAATGCAAATATGTGCTTGAATACATTATGCATAATGCAGATTGTGTTCCTTTGCCATCCTAGAGAAAGAGATTGTGCTAACCCTGTTCTCAACATCGCCTTCCTGTACCTGGTCTTAGACTGTTAGTTGTCATTTCCTTTCCCTCGAGACAGGCTGTATCTAAAGCTTCATCGTTTTTTATAGTAAAATGTTTATTCTCATACTTTGCCAGCTTTCCTATTACTTATTTTGTATAAGTTTCCTGATCTTTATAAATTAATGCTACTTCCCTATGACATGTCAAATACATTAGCTATTTTTTCAGTTTCTCCTTTGCTTTTTAACTTTGTTCACAGAATTTTTCATATTGTAGAATGTTTTCTTACAGAATGAAGAGAGCCCTCTGTTGTTTTCCTTTGTGCCTTCTGCCTGTGGCCATGTGCCTAGACAATATGACAAAGGGTTGGAGTTAGTCACCAATTTATTTTAACCTCTTGTACAAATTTATTCTATAAAGCAATTTTGGAGTTGTTATTATGTCAAGCTCTATTTTTCTATAACTTAAAATAATTCTTTGGGGATTTTGGTTGGGATTGCATTGGGATTTTTAGTTTAGAATATAGTTTAGAAATGTGTATGGTTGGTTATTAGAATACTGTACCTAGTATGTGGGATATAATTTAAAAATATTTTTAAGAATTGATTTAGAATCTGCTAGTTCTTCATATCAACCAGCAAGGGTTACTGGTTATTTCTATGTAATCTGACTATCTTAAGCCCATAATATATAATTTCATTGTCGTAAATGAATCTTTATTCATTTTTTTCTCAAATGTATACATACATATTCTCTTGTGTTTGAAAAACATGTTATTCTTTTATTTGTGTGTGTGTGTGTGTATATATACAAACATGTGTATGTGTGTGAGTATGTATATACCATAGCATGAGTATGGAGGTCAGAGGCCCACCCACAGGAGTTGGTTTTCTCCTACCATGTGAGGTCCTTGGTGGCAAGCACTGTTATCCACTGAGCCATCTAACTGACCTTGCATTTAATATATAGAAAATCAAATAATCTGCAAACATTGTCATTTGCCTCCATCTACCGGGTATTTTGCCCTTGGCTTTATTTTTTTTTTTTCTGGTTTTATTCCCTCAGGATGTTTAATAATTTAGAATGATGTTTAATAATTTAGAGAATGGTCTTCCTTGTCTTGCATCTGACATTAATGGAATTCTTTAACCACAAAGTTTGAGATCATTATTCTTTATCATGTTGAGAAAATGTCTTTTACAACTAGCTCATCATGACTCTTTCTCATAAATAGATTTTGAGTTTTATAAGATGCATTTGGGGCATTGATTCCTTTTTTTCCCCCTTAAGCAATCGTCCCAATGAGTTATAGTGACATATCTCTGAATACTGGGCTCTTTTGAAATATGTGAAGTAAGTCATCTGTAGTCCTGTGTGTGGGGTGGGGGGGACTAAAGTTCAACCTTAAGGTTTGATCCTCGGGAGTAGTTCACCACATCTTTTGAGACAGGGTCTCTCACTGGCTTGGAACTTTCTAAGTCAGTTAGGCTGGCAGCCCTAGTGGGCCCCCTGTTTCCACCTCCCCAATACTGGGATTACAAATGTGTCCCAACAAACTTGGCTTTTTTTTTTTTTAACATGGGTTGTAATGACAAAGCAGATGTCCTTCTGTTTGTGTGCAACTGTTTGTGTGTTCTGTTAAGGATTTGTGCACACATATTCTCATGTGAGGTTGAGCAGTCCATTTCCAGGGCATTCAGCCATGACTTTTATAACACAAACCAGGAAGACTCCACCTCTCTCCTTCCCTGCTGGAGTTTAAACAAGGCAGGAACATCTCCCTTGAAGGTTTGCAGCTCACTTGCAAAATCATCCAGAGCTGTGACATTTTCAAATATTCTTGACATTTACCACCATCAGTTTCATCTGGAGCTTTAAATTTTTATTTTGCTTCTGTGTCATTAGATTTTGGTCATATATTTTGTATGAAATTATCTATTTCAATAGATTATCTTTAAAACCAAGAGATGGCACCTGGCTGGCTTCTGCTTCAGTGTGTTCTCAATTTGCCTTAATGAGCAACTCACATTTGTTTACTCACAGATCTTATACACAAATTCTTGGAATTATTTATTGGTCCTAAAAGTTTTCCTGATTTCTAATTTCTTTTCCAGCAACAGAGATCAAAACAAGAACTTTGTACACTCTAGACAAGCACTGCACCAAGCTATGCCCCAGCCTTGTGTGGAAGGAGAGGGAGGGCAGAGTGTAGTCATGTAGTTCTGACTGGACAAGAGCTTTCAGTCCTCTTATCTTCACCTCACACATACTGGGATTACAGGTGTGGGCATTACCACACCTGACACATTACCACATCTGGCACACTTTGGTTTTCCGTAACATTTCTGTCCTAGTTTCTTTTCTCTTGCTGTGATAAACACTGTAACCAAAAGCATTGGAGAGGAGAGGCTTTATCTGACTTACATGTTAGTTCATTGTTGATAGAAGTCAAGGCAGGAACTCAAGTGGGGCAGGAACCTGGAGGCAGGAACTAAAGCAGAGGCCATGAAGGGGTGCTGCTTACTGGCTTGCTCTCCATGACTTGCTCAGCCTGCTTTCTTATACAACTCAGCACCACCATCCTAGGGATGGTACCACCCACAATGAGATGGGCCCTCCCACATCAATTGTTAGGCAATAAAATGTTCAAGAGCCTTGCCTGTGGGCCAGTCTGTTAGACACAATTCTCCAAATAAGATTTCCTCTTCTAGATATGTCAGACGAGCTAACCTTTTCTATGGGTGCTTTTGTCCTTTCTTTGATATCTTCCATATTTAAATCAGTGCTGCAGACACTTGAGGCTATGACCTTCTGAGCATAGTTTTGTCTCATGCAATGGACAATTTGTGCTGCTGCTTTGGTCCTGCTTCTGTCTGATAGTGGGGGCACTGTATTGTGGCTGCACACATGTCACGCACACAGTGAGCAGCAGTCCCAGTTAATCTGATTTTTATTTCATGAGTTGTCTTTCCTCATTGCTAAACAACCAAGTGCTTGTCCTTCTATAGATCTGTTAATGTCAGGTTTCATTGAATTAGAAAACATGTCCTGCTTAAGTTCCATGTTAAGGATTTAGTGAGAGCTTTTTTGCAACCTAATATAATTAGTTTTAAATGATCTATGGTTAAGGGCAATCTCCAGGACACTCTAGTTAGTCTATGTTGCCATTTTCATTAGCTTTTTTCAAAAATGAAAATTGGCCCATCCATTTCATTATTGTTCATTTCTTCTTGTACTAAGGATGTGTTTTGCTTCATGTTTTGTTTGTTCGGGTCTCATCAGGTAGCCCAGGCTGGCCTTGATTCTCCCATCTCAATATTCTGAGTGCAGAATTACAGTACTTTGCCACCATACCCAACCAATCTTGACAAAATAACACTCAAGAGTATAAACATCCACTGTCGCTATAACTTCACTGTATAAGGTTTTATAACATGTAACATATAACATATAAAATGACCTGAAAATGGCTGTCTTTATCCAACAAAAGATTATTTTTCCAACTTCCAGTTTGATAACAGTAATATGACTTTTAAAATTTTTATTTATCCAGTGCATTTTTAAAAAGAAAATGTGGTGTGTGTGTGTGTGTGTGTGTGTGTGTGTGTGTGTGTGTGTGTGTGTGTATGTGTATGTATATATACTTGACATAGGTGCCAGGAACTGAGCTTTGGTCCCTACAAGAGCAGTGTGCTTTCAACAGCTGATTTCTCCAGCCCCTTAACTTGTATGCCTTCTCTGTTCTCCTGAAACTCACAGGCAGTGACTATCATGGTTAAGGTGGCATACTGGCCATCAGTTCCTACATCTGGGGTGATCTGGGAACAAGACTTCTAACCCCTGTGGGCCCATTTCCAAATCTCTTAGCCTTTCCCTCAAATTCCTAGAAAAAAGCAACACATGCCCATATGCTGCAGATCACCTGTCCTAACAGAAACAGATGCACACTGCACACTGCCAGACACTGTTGCTCTCTAGCCATCCCTAGCTGGGGTCTGTGACTCTCAAATATGATGGGTGTGGGGGGGAATCAAGGACATTTCTTCCTAGCTGATGTGGTTTTCTATGTGCCCTGTTTCCAAGCCACAGAATAAGTTCTATTGCAGAGTCACTCAAAATATGGTTACAGTCTCCTGAACAGCAACTTTTCCCCTAAAGCTAATGCCATATCTGTGCATATCCCTACTAAGAAACTGTTCTACACTTACCCAGTGCCCCTATGGCAGCCTTGAAATTCCAGGAACATTTTGTTCATGGCTTTGGACCTTGACATTGCTTTGTGTTTTTTCTTTGTTTTGTTATTGTTTTTGTTCGTTTGTTTATTTCCTTGAGACAGTGTCTCAGGTTGCCCAGGCTAATATTAAACTTGCTCTGTAGCATAGGATAATCTTGAACTTCTTGTCCTTCCCCCTCTGCCTCCAAAGTGAATGTCAAGATTACAGATATGCATCACCATATTTTACATAGTTCTAGGGATCAAACCTAGAGATGTGTGGATGACAGGCAAGTACTGTACTGCCTGAGTTATGTCCCCAGCTCTTGGCATGACTCTCTTCCAAATGTAACACCAGTTTCACTGGGCTGAGTAGAGGACTTTGTAAGCCACAAATGGCCACTCTACAACCTCTCTTCCTCTAGGTGTGAGTTGAGGGCTGTGTGGTCCTCTGGCAGGGAGTGTTTTATGCACAGTGGTAGCATCAGTCAGTAAGATCTAGAAGGGCAAGGGACAAGTGCCAAACTGTGTGGTAGGAACTCCTGTCTTCAGAGAGATATGCTGTCACCTCCCATCCCTGCAGACTTCTCCATGATGACACCCATCAATGACCTTCACGCTGCTGACTCCCTGAACCTAGCCAAGGGGGAGAGGCTCATGCGGTGCAAGATCAGCAGTGTCTACCGCCTCCTGGATCTCTATGGCTGGGCGCAGCTCAGCGACACCTATGTCACGGTAAGCAGCAGGCACCCTATGCCCATCCCCATCCCCCTTTCCCCACAAAACCTGAAAGGAAGACCCCTGGCCCTCAGCGTGGTCAAGCGCTGTTAGGGGCTCTTGGTTAAAATCCACTCACCTCTTCCATGATTGCTAACCTTTATGATAAACAGACTAAACTGCCCGGTGGGTATCTCTTCAAATGGGAACCAGCTCCTGTATCCAGGGCTGTCCTAATTTTTGGGAGATTCCTCTGGAGGCTCCATTTCCACAGCTTAAATAAAGACCAAACCTCTTCATCTCTCAGTGGAGGTTTCCTGGAAAAAGCCTTGGTGCAATGAGTTTGGGGAGACATGGATTTAAACAGTGTCCCTGGAAGCATCTCTTCTTTTTCCATGCTTGGCCCTAAGTTTCTTATCTGTCTTCCCCCAGATGAGAGTGAGCAAGGAGCAGGACCACTTCCTGATCAGTCCCAAGGGGGTCTCCTGCAGTGAGGTCACAGCATCTAGCCTGGTAAGTATGGGCCAGCATCTCAGTACTGATCCTAAATAAGATGACAGTAGCCATGTGACCCTGGAGAGACAGGTTCATCTCCAAATCAGAGCCTACTAACCTGTTCCTTGTGGATCTCACACTCTCCCTGGTCAGAGAAGATGCATAGACACAATGGGTACCTCAGGCATGATGTGACCAGGGTGCAGGCAGTAAGCATAGTGGAAGGGAGGAGAGAATGGGAGGTGATCTAGAGTCCTGGGAATATTCCTGGGTTGAGGTTAGACCACATGTCATAAGGAAAGCTTCCTTGGGTGGGAACACATTGGAACAGGAAAGCAAAAGACTTGCAAGTCTGGCTCAGCTTTTAGAATCTGGAGGTGTAGGCAACACAGTCTGTTTCCTTTATTCACAGATTGCCCTGACAGAGGTGTGGAGCCCAGTAGACATTAAGACAAATGCTCGGTGCTCTTTCTGTGATCTGTGAAAGAAATTCTGGGCTTGCATGCATAGTGAGCCTGTGATCAGCTGGGCTGGTAGCTGGGATAGAGTATAAGGAGCTGGGGAGGGGGTAGTGTCCCTGAGGCAGATGCAGTTGGCATTTGGCTGAGGTAGGTTGAGAAGGGGTCTGGCCCCAAGATGTAGACTTGAGGGTATCACAAGCAGAAGGTTATTTGGGATGTGGGCAGGCTTGTAGGGTCACTAGCAGGAGGTCTGGGGTATGGATAGACCATGGGTGATTATGTGTGGATGTACAGCTCCTATCCTCCAATGGGATGTGCTTGATGAGGAAGAAAGGTGAAATCGCTTGAGCTCTGCTCCTGCAGTTGACTTCTTTTATAAATTTGCATAACAGCCGTGAGGTATAATTGTAGTCAAGCAAGCCTAGGGACCAGGCTGTATGCCCATGAAATTGTTAGGATAGCAGTTCTCAACCTGTGGGTCACAACCTCTTGGGGGTAACATATCAGATATTTACATTAAGATTCATAGCAGTAGCAAAATTATAGTTATGAAGTAGCAACGAAATAATTTTATGGTTGGGGGTCACCACAACATGAAGAACTGTATTAAAGGGTCACAGCATTAGGAAAGTTGAAAACCACTGTTAGGAGGACCTTGCCTCAGAATTTGGTTTTGTGTTGGGTGATTTGGGTCACTGAGGGATGGACCTTCAGTATGCTGGGAAGGTTGGTGGAGGGCATTTTGAGGATGAAACAGCCTACCATTTCTATGCAGGAAGCCATTGTCTATCAGTAATAAAAAGCCTTCTCTGGTGTCGGTACTTTGTGAATCCATTTGTTAAGTAGGAACACAATGACCAGACACAAGCATTATTCATTTTATTCACTGTGTGTGTGTGCCTGTGTGTGTGTGTGTGTGCGCGTGCACGCGTGTGCGTGCATGCACACGCATGTATATACTCTTCCACCAGCACTCACTGTGTGTTGTCTGTATGTTTGTCTTTCTTTCTGTCTCTCTGTCTCTTGTTCACTTGCTCACTCCTTCTCCCTTCCCCCACTCCTCCCCTCCCCCATTCTCCCTTGCTGTCTCCTTTACACACATGCTTTATGTATTGTTCTTTTTAGCCAAGCCACCTGCTAGTCTCTTGGAGTAGAGTGCAGGCTAAGAAAGTGACTTCTTTCCATTGGTCCCTTAAAATACTTCCCTTTTCTGTGACTGATGAGAGGTGTTCAGTATATCATTCACTTTACCTTTGTGTATGTTCAGATGTTTCAAAAATGAAATGGCTCAGCTTAGACCTGACTTCCTCTGGGAAGGTTTCTGCTGGCATCCTAGAATCCTCTTAGCTGCTTCTGGAGGATTCAGTCACTGACTCTGGGCATCATTTAGGAAAATGCTAAGCGTGCTGACTGCTCTATTTTGACAACTCCCTGAAGAATGAATGATACAGTCTGACAATCTGCCCTGTAAGGTGTAAGGTTTTTCCTCCCGCCGCCTGGCCTTGTCCTGCTGCCACGCCGCCAGCCCCAAATAACACACAGAGACTCTATATTTGATACAATGCTATTGGCCAGGTGCTAGTTTCTTATCGGCTAGCTCTGTCTTAATTATTAACCCATTTCTATGTATTTCCATGTGGTCTTACCGAGAGCGGAGGAACAGCGGTTCTGTTCTCTCCAGACTCTCCATCCTGACTCCTCCCTCCTCCTTCCTATTTCCTTCTTGTCTCCTAGTCCCTCCTATCTTCCTTTCCTATTGGCCAACAGTGCTTTATTCATTAACCAGTATGAGAAACATATACAGAATGACATCTCCCATCATCTCCTCTTTTCTGTCTAAAATAAAAAGAAGGGTTTTAACCTTAACATAGCAAAATATATAACACAATAGTTATCAAGTAAGAATCACAGTTAACAATATTTAGTCCATTAACAATTAGGAAGATTTGAATAAAATATTCCATCATCTATTTTATCTTGTGAGTCTAAAGTCCTATATGTACCTTATCATTGAATCCTAACTAAGGAAAACTATAACCATAACTAACTGTCTTCAACTCCTTCAAAGACCACAGAAGGATAGTATATAAACTCTAGAAATGACAGAGACAGTTCACTGCCTGGTCACCCAAAGTTCTTTTGTAATCTTCCATCTTCAGCCCATAGGCCATAGTGTGTCTGGCAGACTCTTCAGCAAAGTACTGGCAGTTTGTCAGTCATTTTTCTCTGTGTCCTGCAGACTGTCTGGCAGACTCTTCCATGAAGCAGGAACTCTATAGCAATATCCATCTTGAATCAGCAATCACTTTTCTGTGGGTCCTGCATGTCCAGTTTCTACAGCATAAAGTCATACAGTCCAGACAAGAGCAGTATCTTGTCCAAATGGCTAGTCTTGCCATATTGGAAGCAAACTCTATAATGAGTTTCTTCAATGTCCATCTTCCTTTCTGACGCAGGTGGTGTTGCCAGGAACAATTATGTCTCATTGTCAAGAAAAACCCTAAACCATTTTAAATGCCATATTCTGTAGGTCTTTGATAGGTTTGAAGAATGCCTATTCATCTCAAATACATCTCTGTATATCTAGAAAACCTAAGTAAATTAACTATAAGTTTTGACTATTATAGGTAACTATCTAAAATCTGTATTAAATTATACATTAATTTCTAAATGAGCTATAAAAACACAACACCTAAATAAGAGGAGAAATATACATATCACAAAATTGACCTTAAATTGTATCAATAAATGAAAATCCATTCCAAAACAAAGTACTCATATCTATACCATAATTCCCTTTTTACCTTTAAAAAGAATTGGCTGTGATCATTAACCATTTATAACCAACCCCAATTAAATGAAAACAAACATTTATAAACAATATTTGGGAATTTGGGCGACGTTCTTTCCAAACTACTTCCTGCTGATAGGGGGCGCTGTCATAGGGATCCTAAGAAGATGCAGATATCCTGGTTGTAGTCTGCAAGGCTGCTTTGTCCAAGCTGTTTTGAATGTAGGATCACCTGGTACTCTGTTTCAGGGGGTCTGGCTTGATCAAAACACAGCTTTTCATTTTCTGTGGAAACAGAAATCCTTTTCCCCAGTAACTTGTCCTTAGACTTAAATTTTGAAGTCAAAGCATTTTTAAAATATATAAATTGAATTAATCCAGCAGCATTTCCTTTAACAGTTGTTGTTTCCTCAGCAGTCAAACAATACAAAGACAGTATAATACCATACAGTATCCATATTCTCTCCATCTTTACGTGGCTTTTTTATTACTCTGTTTCTTTTACATCTATTTTTTTATTTTTTGAAACAGGGTTTCTCTGTGTAACTTTTATCTGTCCTGGAATTCACTCTGCATACTAGGTTTAATTTGAAATCACAAGAGATCTGCTTGCCTCTGTCTCTCAAGTTCTGAGATTAAAGGTGTATGCCACCACACCCAGTTCCTCTTTGTCTTTTTAAAACCATTCCATTTTTTTTCCTTTTTCTTCCAAGCCTACATATATTTTACTGTAAACCTTTAGCGTTTTTCTTAATGTGAATCTGTCTTTACTGTAAATCTTTATCTTTTTGTAGCCACGAGTCTTTTATCTGGTAAACAACAACATTGCTGAAATTAAAGTCATAGCTGTGTTAGCCGCGGTTTATCAAAGATGGTGGCGGGTTCTTTTACCGCCAGCATTGAAAGTTGTGCTCACTGCCTTGGTCTGCGCTGCCATTCAGCAAGCATGCTGCCAGCTTGGAGATGTGGTCACTGCCATTGCCATCTCTCATACACACCAATAAATTGTTAGCAGAGTTATTTAAAAGCCTTGCGGTTTTTTGCCGCTTATGCTGAGTCAGGAATCTTCCCTTAAAGGAGCCGCGCAAATATCTGCTTGTCCCTTACTAAGCAGAGTCCAACCGAGAAAAATGCTGCTACCAAGAAACCTTGCTTGTCTCTGTTCTTTTGTTTTTAAAGCCCTTTTTTAAGCTTTTGTTAAATTTTAAGTGGAAGTTCTTATTAGCCACGTGGGCGCCATTTGTAAGGAGTACAGGTTTTTCGGCCTGCCGCCGCTGGTCTTGTCACTTTTCCTGCAGAATTATCACCACCTGTCACCCCTTAAGATTCACTGCAGGCAGGACTCCATGTTGCTATCCTCCAACACCAAGGCCAGCACCTCCTGTTACCTGGAAGGGTAGACATGGGCAGGGGACACACTGGGTCCATGTGTGAATGAAGGCAGGGGCCCTGCTGCCTGCCACTCTGAGTCTGTTCTCTTCTTCACTGCCTAGATCAAGGTGAACATTCTGGGAGAGGTGGTAGAGAAGGGCAGCAGTTGCTTCCCAGTGGACACCACAGGCTTCAGTCTGCACTCAGCCATCTATGCCGCCAGGCCCGACGTAAGGTGTGCCATTCACCTACACACGCCTGCCACAGCCGCGGTGAGTAAGGCCTCCCAGGCACCTGAGCTCCACCCAGTGCCAGACTCTCTGTGGCAGCCAGTTCAGGAGCACCTGTTCCCCTCCCCCTTTAGGAGATATCATATCTGATATAGCAATGTTATCATTTAAAAATTCTGCAAAGGGGGCAGAAAAATAGCTCAGTGGTTAAGAGCACTGGCTGTTCTTCCAGAGGTCCATGGTTCCATTCTCAGCACCCACATGGCCACTAACAATCATCTGTAACCCAGGGAATTCAACACCCTCTGTTCTGTCCTTTGTAGGCACTGCAAGTATGTGATGCACAGACAGACTTGAAAACAAAACACCCATATAAAACAAGCAATAAAATAAAAATAAAAAATAAATAAAAAAATAAAAATCTTGGAAAAATATGGAAGTCAGGCCAAGAGAATGAATTCTCTTGTATTGTAAGACTCATCATTACAGCCTTCCTTTTGATTACCAGGGTCCTGGTAAAAGGTGAAGGAGAGGAAGTGCATTTCACAGACTCTCCCATTCTGCTGAAGCTGTAGCTGGAAACTCAGCCAGGCATCTGTACTATTGACTGTCTACTCAAGTCAATATTGTTGGGCTTTATACTGCCCTTTCCCCACATGACCCAGACCTTCAGAGGAAAGGCCTTGACACAGAACCACAAGCTGGTGAAAACTTGATCCACAGTTCAAGGCAGTCGAGATCTGGGGAAGGGGAAGTAAATCTGGGGGAGAATACAGCGAGCAATCAGATCACAGGTAGTACCATGATCTCTTCACATGTATGGAAGACACTACAGTGTCACTGGGAGAAATGGCAGGCACTGGGCATTGCCCTGACCATGATCCTCTCCTGCTGACACCAGAACTCACACCTATAGGGCAAAGCACATGGCACCAGCCTATTGATTTCTAAGAAAAACACAGGGTATAGACCTCCCAGAATCAGGACCAAGACTTAATGGTGTATATGTGTTAATGGTCTCTTCAGTCTTGGGGTGATTTGGGGTAGTGGGGCAAGATAGTAAGGCTCCTCTGAACCCACCACGTTCTGGCTTTCAATGAGAGATGGGGTAGGAGACTGTACTAATTTACTTTTCTGGGGCTTTGATAACATACCATGGCCAGAATCAACAAGGAGGAACGAATTTGTTTCATCTTACAACTTGTAATCCATCATGCAGGAAAGTCAGGCAGGAACTTGTGCAGGGATTGTGGAGGGTGCTGCTTACTGGCTTGCTCCTCATCACTTGCCCAGCCTGCTTTCTTTATAGCATCCAGAGCCACCTACCCAAGGTAGCATCACCCACAGTGAGCTGGGCCCTCCTATATCAATCATCAAGAAATGGCCCATAGACTTGCCCCAAAGTCAATCTGGTAGGAGTATTTTCTCAATTGGTGTTCCCAATTCTAAAATGACTCCAGCTTGTGTTAAGAGTTGACTTAAAACTAGCCAGCACAGGAAACAACCCAGGTTTTAGCCCTGGATCCTTGTACTCATACTGCCCCAGGATCATACGCTGGGGGAAAGTATTTCCACCTCTCCTGCCTCCTCCCAGAGTCACGGACAGAACAGAGCTGGGACTGGGCTGCAGAGGCCTCCTTGGGCATGCTTGCCCAGCAGTCCTCAGTGCTATTGGAGTGATGTGTAAGTGTGATGGGGAGCCCTTAGAGCCCTCACTGCAAAAGTGGACCTGGGTAGTGCATAGTCTTCCTCCTGTGATATTCCATACACCCTGGCTCCAGAGCAGGGCTAGCCTGCTGTGCTCTGAGGAGAGAGGCCCAGTGCACCCTGGAGCCTAGGCTGCAGGTGCCAGGCAACTATTGTTTCCCCATAGGTGTCAGCTATGAAGTGTGGCCTCCTGCCTGTCTCCCATAATGCCCTGCTGGTGGGGGATATGACCTACTATGACTTCAATGGGGAAATGGAGCAGGAAGCAGATCGAATCAACTTGCAGAAGTGCCTTGGACCTACCTGCAAGGTTTGTTTCTGGGAGGGTGTTGTGGAGTAGTAACTGCCAAAAGCTGACGGCACAAGACTGGGGAGATGGTGCTAACGGTAAAGAGCTTGCTGTACAAGGACCTGAGTTCCATCCTCAGTACCTACATAAAAACTGGGTGTGGCAGTTAAGTACCTATAACCCCAGAGCTGGCAGGTGACCCCCTGGGGCTTGTGTGGTCAGTCAGTTTGACTGAATCAGTGAGCTCCATTTTTAATGCAACACCTTGTCTCAGAAATATCACGTAGAGAAGAATTAGGAAAGATGCCCAGCGTTCACCTCTGGTTCACACACACGCACAGGGATAGGGGTGGCTGGCAGAGACAGAGATGGAGAAAGCACTGACATGTATTCACTGTGAGAGTATTTGTTTTGTAGATAATTTTTAAGAATGATATGTGCAGTGTGTGTGGAGGTCAGAAGGGGGCATCAGATCCCCTGGAGCTAGAGTTGCAGGTGATTGTGAGCAGCCTGATGCCTGTGCTCAGAACAGAACTTGGGTCCTCTGCAAGAGCAGGAAGCACTCTTAACCACTGAGCCATCTCTCCAGCCTCTGAGTTTTATAAGTTTTTTTTTAAGCCTATATTGCACTGAGAATTTGGTGCGTTTTCTAAGACTGTGTTTGAGCATATTTACAAACCTGCAACCAGGAAAGCAGTTCTCCTTCTCCTTAGCAATGTACCCTAAATGTCCTTTTACATCACTATTTCCTCCATCACTCAGCTTATTAAATCATACCTCATTGTACGAATGGCTGTAATTTACCTGAGCAGTCCTCTGTAGTTGAACCTTACAAGGAAATGTAAGTGTAACCCCACCTCCCAGGTTCCTCTTAATAGAAACAACACCAAGAGGAAATCCTTCCAGCTAATCCTCCGGGCTTGAAGATGCTCACTTAGACATTTCTAGGGGGCACCCTTTATAAGTCAGACTTCATATTGCCCCATTGCTTCCCACAAAGGTTGTCTCTTCTGCCCCCTTCCTCATATATGGGCAATTCTCTACATCCTCCCCAAAACTTGGTGCTATAATAATACATCAGTTAATTCCATTTATTAGTGACCAACTGGATAGAAGAGAGCAGAAGGGCATTGTTGCCTGGCTTAAGTCTAAAGCACTGTCTTCTACTAGCACAGAGGTCAGGGTGCCATCTCAGAAAAGAGCTTTGAGACAGCCTGAGTTGGCAGCTGCAGGAGAGGGAGCTCCCACCACATGGGGCCCACGAACCAAGATTTACAGACTTGATAACTGGTGCCTTACCCCCATCTTGCTGGCTCCGGGAGGTGGGGGGAGGGCTGCAGGGGGGTGTCCTAAAGGCTTTTGCTTAACAGGCTTTTTCCTCCTCCCCAGATCCTGGTGCTGAGAAACCATGGCATGGTTGCTCTGGGTGACACCGTGGAGGAGGCTTTCTATAAGATCTTCCACCTGCAGGCTGCATGTGAGGTACAGGTACGTAAGGTACTCTGGGAAGTAAGCTGGTTTTTATGGGATCCCTGGGAACTGTGAGCCCTGCTAGCTGTCAGCTGGGGTCCTGTGAGCCTAAACTTCCTGAAACTCTACTTTGTCACTCTTTCTGTCACCACTTTCCTTATGCTCCTGCAGTTTCTTGCTTACAATAGGATCCAAATCCTGGAAATATCAGTATCTTATTGGTACTACTCATTTCTAGGGGAACTGAGGCCAGCATGGGGAAACCATCACAAGGCACACAAAAGCCCTAGCACACCTGTGTCACCTAGTATGGCTGTTGCACCAAGTTGTACTGGGGGACACAGAAAAGGGTTGCTCTTGTTTGGCCAGGGAGTGGGATGGAATGGGAGTGGGCCAGAAGTAAGTTCCAGCATGGAAAGGGAAGTGGACAGAGACCAGTCAGTGTTGTCATAGAAACAAGAACAGCCAAGATACCCCCAAAGGTATGCAGGGAGCCAGCTCATCTCCCAGCCTCCTCACTGGAAAGGGACAGCTAGGTGAAAGGTGTCAATGACCGCAGAGTCCCTAGAGCAGCAGAATGCTGGTACAGGTAGCTCTATGGTACAGGTCATCCAAGAGCACACACTCTGTAGTGGATAGGTTGGTGGGATGGGGAGGGGGGATAGTAATGACCCAGCTCTCTCAGCCCCATCATCTCCAGCCATGGCTGTGTATCCTTGGGGCAGAGAGGCAAAGATATGCCCTCTGCAAGCTTGTTTTCTTCATGTTGGCATGGGTCAAAGTTTGCTGGGAGAAATGGCCTCTCCAGGCTAGGAGAGGTGATGACACTGCCAGATGCAGAGGCTGCAGTTCCAGGACAAGTCAGCTCTCTGAAATCCCCACGTGGTACCATTCCGCCTTATTCTGGCTGGCCTGGCAGAGCAGCACCAAAAGAAGCCCATCACTTTCTTAGTGTCACTTGGGGAAATGTGAGATCAGTTCAAGAGTATGGAGATTTGAGGATCCCTGTGGTACCCTAACAGTGGGCTTTATAGTTACAGAGGCAGCCATAAATCCAGAGATGAATAAATGTTACAAGGAGTGGGGTAATGATCCCAAGAAACAGCAATAGTCAGAATTAGAGACTATGGGACCCTGGATCCAAGATGTGGTGCCTTTCCCCTCAATTAAGAAAGTTGCCCCATGCTCAGGTCACTGCCTGGCATCAGAACTCTGGCTGGATGTCTGTTATCAAGGGAAGGTGATCTTTCTTCACACTGGACTGTAAAAGGCTCCCTACCACACCTTTGAAGACACTTCTTTGAAAAAATGGCCTACAAGAAAAGCTCTGCTCTGCAAAGAGGCCCCAGCCCTTTGTATAGATGGAGAGCTGTCTCTGTGTCCCCTACAGATCCAGAGTAAAGAGGCCCCTCCCAAGTTCAGATCCAGAAAAATGGCCCCTGGGCAGTTTAACCTTCTGACCTGCAGCCATGGGGCAGAGCTGTTAGTTCTAGTCCCTAATAGCCTCTTGGCTGCTGTCACTTTCTGTGCAGGACTGGCTTGATGTGCCTTTGTCCACTCACATCCCTCAGGCAACTGGCCCAGAAAAGTGCCAGTGGCTCTGTCAGTTTCAAGAATGGAGAGGCTTCTAGAGAGAATGAAGGTCTAGACATGGAAGAGCAAAAATGCAGAACCACAGACCTGTCAGGATTGCACTCAAGTAGCAATGCAGAAGTCACAGCCCATAGCCACAGTCAGGATTGCACTCGGGCACCCAGCTCTGGAGATCTGTGTCTACCACGGGCCCTGCTTCCTTCCTCAGTGACCTTGGTGGAAAGGTGAACATGACTGTGGACATGTCTGTAGTCTAAGCTCAAGTACCTGCTCAGCCCTCCTGGGCCCAGTATTCTCTTTGGTTTGGAGTTCTGGAAAAGTGGGTCATCACTCGCTGAGAGGCAGCTCTCTGTTCTGCTGAGAGGCAGATGGGAAGCACAGGCAGTTCTTCTCCATCTGCTACCCATCGCCATGGAAACTGCTGGAGGAAGAGATGGAAGGAGGCAGCTTAGACAAGGTTGTGGGTGCTCTCTCCCTCCTTCCTCCTCCATTAACAACCAGTCCCAGAGGAGGCTGCCTCTCATCCTCTGTTAGCTTAGCAACAGCATCCACATGGTGCTCCCAGTTCTCCAGAACATTCTAAATACTTTACAATATTACCTTAAAAGATTCCTCATGATGTAGCTAGGGCATTGCCATTTTTACTTGGTAGAGGTGGAAGCTAAAGCACAAATATGGTAAATAGCTGCCCAAACTCACACAGTAAGAAGGTGATGTAACACACCCAGTCAGCATGGTGCCCACTCCCCTTCAACACACCCTCACATTGCCTCTCCAGGGCAATGTGAGGGCGGGGGATGGTTAAAGACATAGTACAGATATAGATCTTGGGTAAAAAGGCACTGGAAAGTGTTGTTATGCCCCCCCTGTCCCAGGGTGACAAAGCTCACCTGAGGGAATCTGATGAGCTCACCTCTGAGAAGTAGTATGGGGTCATCTGTTGGTGCTTGGAGCTCATGTGTCTGCATTTGTCAATAAATTAAATGGACCCTTTTATCTTTGGTCAAAACAAACAACACCAAAACCACAACTCAGATCACCAACCTGTTCTGAAACATCAGACACTGTGGGTTAGATCATCAGAGTGGCAACTCCAGTAAGTGAACTTGTGTGGGAACAGTCATCTCCAATGTGAGTGTGTTAGCACACTGCTATAGTGACATGGCTTCAACATTTCTCTTCCTCCACAAAAGTCAAACCTGACTGAGACTATCTGAATGGCAGGGATGCAGGGTCCAGTAGATTGTACCACTAGATAAGCATGAGATTGGGAAAGATGGAGGCTGGTTAAATGCATGGATGCATTTAAGATTATTCTAAATTGCCTGTTTATACACATACCTCTATCCTAAACATTAATATGCTGCCTGAAGCCACTTGCACTGCTCCTTTTCTAGTGGGACAAGCTCTACAACCCTGAGAGGCTGTCTGACACGGCAGTACACCTGGCTGTACTATGTTGACACTAGACCTGGTTACTGATCACCCCAGAATGGGCATATGGGCAAACATCTTGGATAACAAGACTGTAGAAAACTCTTCTGGCTTCTTTTTATGCCCAGGGCATTTTGTAGATCTACAGACCCTGAAGTAGAGGTCATATGTAAAGATCATTGGCCTGAATGGGGGAGAGAGAGAAAAATAACTTATGTTTTGCACTGTCTTGGCTTACTTTCCATTGTGACCAAAAGCAACTTGGAGAGGAAAAAGTTTATTTCATCTTACCTTACAACTCTCAGGTCATACTCCATCATCAAGAGACATCAGGGCAGGAACTCAAGGCAGGAGTTGAAGCAGAAGCCATGGAGGAGTGATGTTTACTGCTTTGCTCCTCATAGCTTGCTAAGCCTGTTTTTTGTTTGTTTGTTTGTTTTTGTTTTATTTTTTTATATATATAACATTCAGAACTACAAGCCTAGGGTTACCACTGGCCACAGTGGGCTGGCTGGTCCTCCCAAATCAATCATTAATCAAGAAAATGCTCCATATGCTTGCTAATCTATTTGAGTAATTTTCAAAACTGAGGTACTCTCTTCCAAAATGACTCTGTGTTATATAACATTGACTTAAAACTAACCAACACACACACTCATATGGAAAAATGAAGAGAATAAGATGATGACACTGCTATTCATGTTTAACAAGTACTTATGGCCATTTGCTTCAGATAGTTTCCTACTGAAGAGATAAAGTATTACAGATAATGATTGAAGATCCAGATTGACATGAAAGCAGACATCTTTAATTCCAGATCTTGGTAGGCAGAGGCAGGAAAAGCAGTTGTTCATGGCCAGCATAGGCTACCTAACATGTTCAAGGCCAGCCTGGGCTACATTCGACCTTACCTATAAAACAATGAATAGTCCCCCTTGGAGCCCTTCCCAGAATCATCTATCCAAGAGGTAATTATAATTTTGCAATGCATCCTGGGTATCGTTTCTTCTTCTCTGAGGTACTGTTTTTTTCTCTGGGGTACCATTTCTGAGGTATCATTTTTGGTACCTAGGATGCTATATCCCAAATTCCAGTTCAGTCCTCTATGTTTCATTCTGGAAGTTTAACACTTGTTATTTCTTCCCCTCTGGGTTCTCTAAGAACTGAGCCCAAGGATGAATTGCTAATAATTCACTTCATGACAATGAGTGCACAACAAATAAATCAACACGTACTTTCCTCAAGTTCCCTGGGCCTTTCTGGATCCTGAATTGTTCTGTGGCCCACTACCCCTCATGCGTACCATCGCAGTTTTAGGGGCTTCATACACCTATGACTAAGTGCTCTGATCTCTCTGCAGGTGTCAGCTCTGTCCAGCGCAGGAGGAACTGAGAACCTTATCCTTCTGGAGCAAGAGAAACACCGGCCACATGAGGTGGGCTCTGTGCAGTGGGCGGGCAGCACCTTCGGGCCCATGCAGAAGAGCCGACTGGGAGAACATGAATTTGAAGCACTCATGAGGATGCTGGACAACTTAGTGAGTGTCCTGGTGTGTCTGTCCTTCAGACCGTTCCATGGAGGCTGAGCCCACAGAACCAGACAGCTCAAAACACTAGGAACTACAAGAACTGCTTCTGTTTAGTTGGTGAAGGCCTCTGAGTTTGTGTTCACTTGAACAAGAGTTTTCTCTGTTACTCGCCTTCCCTCCCTCTGCTGAGTGCTGAGATATCCTCATGTCTGTCTGTGTTCTCCATGGGAAGTAGCAGTTCAGCCAAGTCAGAGTGGCTCTCCTCATACCCACAGCCCACCACTATCGTCCTCATATCCCATGCATCCTCTGGAGTTGATCCTGCTCCATCCCTCATGTCACAGCTTTAATACCAAGAGCCCATCATGCAGCCAGTTTCCTTATTCTAAGCAGTAACTATATTATTTTGTTGCAGTGAATGAATGAACCATTCCCATAAGGAATTAAATAGGATGGTTCATTAAAGGATACAAGCAGACAGCATCCCATTTCTAGGAGCTAATGACTGGGTTGATGAAAAATCAGAGGAGACATTTCAGGCACAAGAGGGAGGGGTACAGTGGGGAGCTGGGACTGTTTAAAGGGGTGAGAAATAAAACCTGTCTTCAGAACATTCCTATTTGGTTCACCTTCCTCACCCTCAAAGCCACTTGATTTTGTCATGTCAAGGCCATTGCAATAATTAGTACTTAACTTCCAACTTATTTTTCACCCCATTGCAAGGCTGATCGAGAGGGAGGCTTTATAATGACAAAGCATGCCTTTTGGGTAAGATGGCAACAGCTGTGTGCTGAATCATTGTCCCCAAAGACAGCACCAGGGCTGTATGGGGTGGCTTCCTACAGGAACCCTTTTAAAGCTTTGAGAAGGAGCAGATCCCATTTAAAATCTCAGAGAGGAGAGAAAGGAGGGTTCTAATGGAATCAGATAGATTTCACTATGAATGTTGATGAGGGGTTCTTGGAATGAGCAAGGAGTTTCAACCAACTCTATACAACCACCAAGCCGGGAACTACCATTCCAGGGCAATTTACTATCATAGCTGTTTTGACGTTATTTTAAAGTTAATATTGAAGGTAAGCATACAAAGTAATGGGTTTCCTCATGGTGTATTCATACATATGAATACATACATTGTTCTTGTTTCTCCCACCTTACTACTGTCCCCACCAATTGTCCCTCTAGTTGTTCCTCTTCCTTCCCCCAGTCCCACTTTTGCTTTCCTATGACATATATGCAGCACTCCCTCAAGACCTCCTCCTCACTCACTATCCCCTTTCCAGTCCTATTACCACACACACACTCACACAGGCACACAGACACATGGGCACATGGGTACGCATACATGTAAGTTTAAATCTAAGTTATTTTTATCTTAATGTTAGCTACTTTGAAAACTTTGCATGCTCAGGGTATATTTGGCATAGAATGAGTGCTATGGCATGATATGTTAGGCAGCAGCACTGCAAAATTATACATTTATTATTATTAATAGTATAGTAGTAGGAAGCAATACTACTTACAGATTCATCAAAATCATGAACATTAAGCAGGATCATTTTGTGTGTGTGTGTGTGTGTGTGTGTGTGTGTGTGTGTGTGTGTGTGTGTTCTGGAGATTAAATGCAGGGTTTCACATGTGCCAAGCAAGCATTCTACCACAGAGCTATACTTTAGCTCTTTTGTTTATGTTTAATTTTGGAGCTGATGATCACTAAATTACCTAGCTGGCTTTGAGCTTGCTCTGTAATCCAGGCAGGCCTTGAACTTGTCAAGTTCCTGCCTCAGTTTCCTGAGTGGCTGGAGTAACAAGCCTGAGGACCAGGCCCATCTCAGTTTTAAAGCCCTGTAACCTTAGCTTGGCTTCTCAGTTGTCTGGTGGGTATTCAGGGTTGAACTCAGTACAGGTGTGGACCTCTGACTCCACAACACCTGTTCTGATTCTGTCCTCTCAGGGCTACAGAACAGGCTACACATACCGCCACCCCTTTGTCCAAGAGAAAACCAAACACAAAAGTGAAGTGGAGATCCCAGCCACAGTCACAGCCTTCGTGTTTGAAGAGGATGGTGCCCCAGTCCCTGCCCTACGTCAGCATGCGCATAAGCAGCAGAAGGAGAAGACCCGCTGGCTTAACACACCCAACACCTACCTGCGGGTGAATGTGGCCGACGAGGTACAGAAGAACATGGGCAGTCCCAGGCCCAAGACCACGGTAAGAGGGGGAAGTCAGGCTGGGCTGGATAGGATGAGTTGTATTTGAAAGAAAGCAAGCTGTGCAATTTTCTTCCAGGTTCTTATGGGCTGTGTTCAGGCCCCAGAGCCCCTAACACCTCTTTCTTGCACCCTTGAATTGAGGTTTGGGGTTTGAGGGGCAGATTTCCCCAGAGTGTGACAAGGCTTCCATCAGCACAGATTTAAGAAAGACTGGGTTCTGTGTTTCACACCACAATCATGGAGGACTTTAGGAAACTCCTGTAGAGGTGTCCAACACTGGGCCTGGGGTCTGATACAAATCCAGGAGGAGAAGAGGTTGGGCATGTTTTGCCTTCCCTCTCCCCTTTTCCTCACTCAGACAGTCTCTATTTAATGTTTCCCTTCCTGTTTTTCACTGGTAAGTGTGCTATTTTGGGGGGGGGCATGTACATGGGTGCACATGTATGTGGCTCAAGCTTGATGTCTGGAATCATCTTCAATAGCTCCTTTATCTTATTCTTTAAGGATAAGCCTAGAGCTTGGTGCTATGGTTAAACTTATTTGCTCTGGGAATCCTGTCTCTGCCTTTCACGGCTGGAGTTATGGGTGGACCACTACACCCATCCAGGTTCCTGGGGATCCAAATTCATGTCCTTGCTCTTGAATGACAGGTGCTTTAACCATTGGGCCATCTCTCCAATCCCACTGTTTGATTTTTTTTTTTTTTTTTATTAACAAGAAAGTGACTACAGCCAGTCAGAATAGGTCTCCACCAGATGGGGATCTATTTACCTGGAACTGAAACCTAGTGGTGGCTACCCAAACTTCAGCCACTACTCTCTGATGTTTGTTATGGCCCACTGACCTTTCTCGAAACCTGGGTCATCTATCACTCATCTAGCTGGCTCTGACAGAGAGGCTTGCTGACTTTCCATGGTGGGTGGGAAACCCATTTGACTGTGGTCCCTCTCCTTACTCATCTGCCTTGTCTTGTCAGTGGATGAAAGCTGACGAAGTGGAAAAGCCCAGCAGTGGCATGCCCATACGGATCGAAAACCCAAACCAATTCGTGCCTCTCTACACTGACCCCCAAGAAGTGCTGGACATGAGGAACAAGGTGATTCTGCTCTTCTGTCTTGCTTTTCTGAAGGAATCTGGGGTCTCAGAAGCACAACCCAAGTTCCTGGATTGGGGGAACTCACCAGCACCCCTGATATGACACTGTATGGACTACATCCTAGGCTTGGTGCCTCATGCTGGACTTACAAGGTCCTGAGATCCTCTGTAATCACTTTATATAGCAGGACACTTGCTTCATACCATAATAGGTATGTCTGAAAGATGTGTCCACAGAGTGGCCTTTTATGAACTCAGAGTGGCTCGGGGTCAAGTATGGTGGCAGCTCTCAGGACGGGCAGCTTGTGTTAGAACAGAGAGGACATGCTGCTCACCATAGAGGACCTTGTCAGACCTCTCCCAGGCCTCACTAGACAACAGAGTGCCTACCCATGCTTTGACCCTTCTTCTCCCCCTTTCCACACAGATTCGAGAGCAAAACCGACAAGATATAAAGTCTGCAGGGCCTCAGTCCCAGCTCTTGGCCAGCGTCATCGCCGAGAAGAGCCGAAGCCCGGTACAGCAGAAACCACCCCCAACTGAGGGGGAAGCATATCTGTCTCCTGAGGCTGGGCAGTGGGACCCCTGAGTCCTCAGGCCTACTCACCCCATGATCTTAGGTGCCAGGCTCTTGCTGCATAGTGAAAGGCCACCATACAGGTGGCTGTGACATCAGGGAGGACAATATTGGCTCACTCCTGGATGCAACAGATAGAGAACAGCAATAGTAGCCCATCTGCTCATGGGAAGGTCTCTGGCTGGTCCCATGCCTCCCACCATTGGACTTCACGAGGTCCTCTCTCAGTATCTTTCAGTGTTCTGGTGACACTATTGTTTCTGACCTCTGGGTTTGATGTGGCATCATCTGGTCAGAGCTCCAGGGCACAGTGAAAGAGGTGCAGACAGGACTGTTGTACCTATGGGGTGGGAAGGGTAAGGAGTAGCCGTACAAATCTAGTTAGACTTAGAAAGCATGAAGTTACTGTTTCTGTGTTTGAGATGGGGTGGCATCTTGTCTAGGGCTTGGCAGCAGAGTGGCATTGCAATTCTGCCTGTGTAGGTGGCATCATGGCTGTTTGTGGCTGTTGCAAAAGGTATGATACTTTCCTAGACAATGATAGGTGGGAAGTCCAGGGCCCTTAACTCTCTGTTGAGTTCATTAATGCAATGTAATGGTTGCAGATTGGGCAGCAGCAGGCTATGCATTCACACATGCCTCCTTTCCATCCCTACTCAGCCAAGTCGTGAACTGTGAACACACCATAGGGTCAAGGTTAGAAATGGCCTCTGATCCCAGAGAGGTGAAAGGTCAACCCAGAGCAGGATTGTTCAAAGCAGTTCTGATCTTCTCAGCAAGGCTCTCATTAGAGTCTCTCCTGTCCCTTGGGATCTGTCTCAGACTCACTGTTGACTCTGAAACTCATTGTGAGTGAAGCCCATGGGTTCACCTCCCCTGAGGCTTTAGTCTATGCTCCTCCTCCACAGATAGCAAACAATGCCTTTGGTAGGTACAGTGAGGACACTGACTTAGGGAGAGGACAGTGGGGTCTGAAGTTCAGTCCTCCCCTTTAGCAAGAGGGACCAGATGATTCTTGGAGCTTTTAAGTGTCTGGTTAGCCAGATCTCAGAGTCAGGGACTCCGCCAAGATGCAAAACACAAGTTCTGTGTTTTGGGCCTCAGGAACAGGCAGCCAGAGAAGGATCTGGCCTCTTGGTCTCTGTAACTCCAGCACTCACTGCTTGAACTGAGAATGTAGTAGCCTGTGTCTTGCTGTTTTAATGCTGTGTACTGTGGCTTGCACTGCTATTGGGGGACAGGAAGGGGCAGCGGGGGAGGGGCCTGGCATGCTGTTTGCTTTAGCCAATGCTATGCTTGCTAGACTTTGACTGACTCTGGGCAACCGAATGTATGCACAGTCATGGCTTGGAAGTGTCCATAGATGGGATTGCAATAAAGGTGTGTCTTTTGCTTGGGAGCATCTTTTGATTTCATTTCAAGGGCAAAGGGTGGACCCTATATTCACCAGGACAGTTTCAAGGTCTAAATGTGGGGAGGATATAGCAATGGGGACAATGAATGAACTCTACCCCAAGGCCCTAAGCTTGGTTCCAAGGAGCTACATGTCCTTTCCCTAGCAAGACAGCTGACTGCCACCTGAGTGTGAGAGAAGTTCCAGGTTGGGCCCTAGCACAGTGGTCACAGAGCAATACACACTCTGGTTAACTTTCAGTCTACAGAAAGCCAGCTGGTGTCCAAGGGTGATGCAGATACCAAAGACGAATCAGAGGAGACCGTGCCCAATCCCTTCAGCCAACTCACCGACCAGGAGCTGGAAGAGTACAAGAAGGAGGTGGAAAGGAAGAAACAAGAACAGGAAGGTAACCCTGTGTGTGCCATAGCTGCAGGACCTGCCAGCCTAGGGAGAGAGCTCAGGCTCTTCACTAGGATCTGCAGTCCCGGTGAGGACCTTCTTGCCCCATCACCAAATAGCACTATTAGAAAATCAATATGACCCACCATCTCACAGCTCCATGGGATGTCACCTTCGTGACATCACTGACCCTCCTCCACTGGATATGGAGGAGTTAATACCTATAAAATACTTGGAATTGTGCCTTTGAGGCACAAGGTCAGTAGGCAACAGGTTGGTGTTAGCTGTAATGAGATAGGTGTGATAGTCATATAAAGTCTGGAGTGTGTCTATCACCCTGGTAGCCAGGATTCTATGAGCTACCTTGCTTCAGAGTCTGGAGTCCAGCCAGTCCCTCTTCGTTGAAACTTCTGGTGTCTTGACTTGCTGGGTCATGATTTTGTTCCCTTCTGGGCTAGCCTGAACAAAGTCATCTATGGCACAGGCTCTACCTCAAATCCCTCTTTGGCTATAAAGGCACCCTCTCACTTGTTCACCCTCCCACTCTGCCCAAAAGAGCTGTCTCTCCTCCTTGCTTGAAGAACAGCTGGGGCCTGAAATCCACTTAGACACAGGTATAATTTACCAAGAGTTGGGGTCCTCTACCAGCATTACTTCTCACCCAGGGTTAAACATCTTTTCAAGTACTGCTTCCTGCTTTGCTTGGAGTTCAAATGTGCCTGTTTGAAAAAAATAGAGAAATGTACTAGGGATTGTTTGGAAGGAAGATATGAATTAGCTGAGTTAGCTAGCAAGCTAGCAACTATGAAGAAGCTTGGGTATTCCTAAGGAGAGCCAATGGCTATTGGAGGCTCTGCTTCCCCCGGGGATGTGTCCATGGCGATCCTTTTCAGCAATACCTGCAGAGCCAGGTGCTGATCTGGCACATGGCAGTCTCTTGCCACCTTCCTTCCTCACAGCACAGGCAGCCATGGGGTAGACAAGGTGACTCTGACTGCCCCCTTTTAGCCTCCCTAGGAAGAAGCAGGGGTAAATCTGAGCTAAGGAGAGTCCAGTAATTCTCCAGCCAGAAGTGACTGGTAGAAAAGCACTGGGTTTCATGCTCGCCCTGCCCCTCTTATCTCTTTGTGACTTCTGTGCTAAGGTGGGTCTCTGTTATTTTCAGGGGTGAAGGACATAGACACAGGAGAGCCTGGCTCACCTGTAAAGTTCACACCTGCATCTCCAGTGCAGAGCCAAACAAAAGCAGGGACCAAGAGTCCGGCAGTTTCTCCTTCCAAGGCTTCAGAGGGTGAGTGGGGCTGAGCAGGCTTCAAAAGACACTTGTGTTGGGGAGCAGGTGTTCTTTACACTGTAGAGAATGGTTGTTAGTTGCTAAGGGTTTGTCAGGGGAGGGTGGCCTCACTCCCATGGGAAATATTTCCTCTCAAACAGTTCTAGGCTTTCTGGACAAGATTCAGTTTCTCTTACCAGTGAACTTTGCTGATGCAGCCAAAGCCTTCCATGTAGAGATAAAAGACTAACCCACACCCTCACCATCCCCAGCTGGCCAGTTGTGCCATCTGGTTCTCAGGTGCTGGTGTGGGGAAGGGTCTCTCTAAAATGAAGGCACTGCTCTGTCAGGTCTGAGATGGGGCCTGAAACTCTGGATTTCCTGGGGGGGGGGGCATGATCTGATGGTATCACTCTCCATCTTGACTGAGCATTGGGACCCCCTGGTTCTGTGGCCTGGAGCCCACCCTCAGCATTTCTCCAGGGCACTCTAAAATGTGAACCAGCTAAAAACCATGCCATTAGAGAGACATGAGTTTAGGCAATAGAATTCCAAGCCCCCAAAAACCTGTTAATTTTTGTAGTTCAGAGACCTACTCCATGTCTCAGTCAAATGCTTTCCCTTGCTACAGTTCTGCTGTGTCTAGAGGGAGTGTTGATGATAGCATACTTTGAAGGAATAAGGGAATAACTTGAACATAGGTTCAACTATGATTAAAGTATGCATGGTAATAATGATGTTGTGGTCCCTTGCCACCTCTATGATGCTATACTAGGTCCCCTGAGAAACTCTACCAGAGAGGGCCACCCAAAGAACAGCCTCTGCTGGGCTGCCAGGATCTCCTTCCTAGGTGATGGGTCACATGTGTGATTCTGGTAGCACCTCCAACCTGAGCTTCCTCTCCAAGCCAACAATTGCCTTGCATATAGACCCACCTCACTGGAGAAGAGCCATCTGCTTGAGGCCAGAGCCCCAAGTGGATGTCCCTCCCTCCTCTCCATTGGCTGAATGTGTTCATTGTGTCTCATCGTGGTGTGTTGTCAACTTGTCCACAATGTCTTCCTTTCTCTTCTCATTTGTGCCTTCATTAAAGGACTTTCCTCCAAGTCTGAATACTTGTCTCTGTAGTAAGTATAGAGAGGCCACTTCCTAACTCACCTGTCACTTGAAACAGAGAGGGAGGAGCTTTTCAAAAGAAATCTGTTTCCCCTCTAAGGTTTTCTTCTTGCATCTCACCGTCCCGCCTTTGGAAAGTTTCTCAGATATAAAATCCATGACCAATTCCACCTGTGCTGCATTGACTAGGGTTCCTGTAAGGGATGTGGGTGCGTGCACACACACACACACACACACACACACACACACACACACACACCTGTGCTGCATAGACTAAGCTTCCTATAAGGGACATGGGCACACACATACACATACCTGTGCTGCATGGACTAGGCTTCCTGTAAGAAACATGGGTACATGCATACAGAGAGAGAGAGAGAATGAAAGAAAGGAAAGAAGGAAGGGAGAGAAAGCCAGGTAGTGGTGGCAACATGCCTTTAATCCCAGCACTCAGGAGGCAGATGCAGATGAATCTCTGTGAGTTCAAGATCATCTTGGTCTACAAGAACTAGTTCCAAGTTCCAGAACAAGTTCCAAAGCCACAGAGAAACCCTGTCTCAAAAAGAGAGAGAGAGACAAGAGAAAGAGATAACAAGTCCTATGAGGAGGATAGGGGGCTGCAGGAGAGTGTCATGGTCATCAGGAATTACTAATTGGCCCTTTGGCACCTCTAAGGAGCATCTACTAGAACTCTGAGCAGAGCCTGAATTCTCTCAGGGCCTCAGATGCCACCTAGATATGTGCAGAGGACCTGGCTTATGACTGTCCATTAGCACATGTGTGCAGTCTGCAGGAAGGAAATTCAGGGAGAGCCTGAGAGGGCTCATGGCACAAGGGGACAAATCCTGAGATTCCTGTCAGCTCCTGAGAGGAATAGAAAACAGGGAGAGTGAGGAGGGATGGAAAGAGCCATCCACCTACCACTGGGTATCATACTCTCTGTGACAAGAGTTCGAGTTCCGGTTCTCTCTGAACCAAATCTACCCCTTTCATAGGGCCCACTGCACTTCACTTGTAAAACAACAAAAGTTACAATTTTCTCTAAAGATTTTTTTATGTGCCACAGACAGCTAGAAGCATGGCTACCTTGACACAATGTGATGCATGTGTGAGTTGCAGTGTGGTGGGGGTGGGTGGCCTGGACCAGCTCCTTGCAGCAGGCAGGATGGACTCCCTCACTGTAGCTATTTCCCACATGTGTCTAATCCATTAGATGAAGGATGACTGTTTCCAACCCTCTGTCACTGTGCTCCCTGGTCCTCTCCTATTGAGTCTCCATAATACCAATCCTCACCTATGTTCCAGAATCTGAATCCCTCACCATCAGCCTCTCTAACATGTCTCTTCCTCCACATCTGCTCACCATGATACTTCTTTCTCTTTGACCAGACCCTAAGCAATGTGATCCATACTGAGTGCAGCCTCCAGGGGATACTCAGGGCGATGGACTGAGCAACAAAGAAATTGCTCCTGTTTCATGCCATATGTTCACAGATGAATCCATTATTTCAAATAAGCCACTCAAAACATTTCAGAGGGTTGGGGAAATGGCACAATGGATACAAGTGCTTGCTGCAGCAGAAACATGAAATCCAACAAGGCATGGCAGGCCCTGTAATCCCAGAACTCCATAGACAAAGGCAGAAGAACCTCAAGAACAAACTAGCTAGCTGCTCTAGCCAATTGGTGAGCTCTGGGTTCAATTGAGAGACCCTGACTCAATAAATAAAATGGAGGTCCATCAAGGAAGACATCTGACATCAGCCATGGGCCTCCAAGGGTGAGAGTGAGTGTGTGTCTGGAGACAATGAGCAATTTTGCAGTGTGCTCACATGAATCCATTTTTATTAAGGACTGTGCTCCTTGAATTGTGAGAACTTACTAGTCCTTGATGTTGTTGGCCTCCAAGACTTGGGCAGGTTAGCTCTGTAGCATCAGATCTCTGTCCAATTATGGTCCATAGTGAGCTAGCTCTCCTGTGCATTGGCTAGAGTTGACTAGGTTTAGCTCAATGGCTCTTCAGCCCTGTGAGAGATCAGCCAAGACCACACACAATCAGCTATGAGCATGACTAGGCCAGGACTTCCAAGGTAGTGTACACACATGGCTGGTGCCTTTGTGAGGCCAGGAAGAATCAGAGTTCAGTGAGGATGCTGCAGTGGCTGAATTGGCTTCTGTCTCTGTGCCTCCCTCTCACTCTTCCTAACCTCCACATTTCCACTGGTGTCGTTGGACTTTATTCATGATGACCTATGTATCCCAAAGCTATTAGGCAGAAGTTTCTAGACCTTCCATCTTTGGCCTAAGCCCAACTCTGCAACACTTCCCTGCATTCTGGTTGCTACCAGAAGCCATGGAGCCAGCAGGGGCTATAGGAACCTATCAATATCAAGAGGCTCTGCAAGGTAGAGCCTGAGCTATCCCGCATGCCAACAGAATATTCAGCACTTGGAGGAACTTTGAGTCTCAGCTGAGGTGCGCCAACAAAAGTATATCCTGAACCCAAATGTCCCACTGTGCAGCCATGCTCTTTTTATGTCAAAATAGCCTGGTGACTTAGAGAGGTGGGTGGGGATGTGATGTGGATCAAGGGTAGAGCCCTTGCCTAACATGTATGGGGCAAACACACACACACACACACACACACACACACACACACACACGGTGACCCACTGTCTGCTTTGGGCCCTAACAAGGAGAAAGACCAGCAGTCATGTGTCTGACCCAAAGTGTCTGTCCCATGTGTCTGACCCATGTGTCTGACCCATGTGTCTGTCCAGGCCATCCCCTTGTCTCCCTTGCTGTTGCTGTCTAAGTGGCATGCCAGGCCAGCAGTCATGTGTCTGAGCATGTTCCTGAAGAAGCCAGATCTCCTCCATGGAACCTGCATCTGGCCTCACACAGTAAAAGGTTCAACCATATTGTTGCTGATAAAGTTTGTGTTCTGACAGCATATGACAATGTAAAATGAGCATACAACATTGGAGTTAGATGAAGACCAAGCATAAAAAGCAAATCTATTGTATAAGGTTAAGTTTTTGGACACAAAGGAGAGGGGCTTTCCCCAGATTGTAGAGCCTGGGTGACAGGTCAAAGGATCCACAGTGGGTAAGAACAAGTCAAAGATGGAGGAGAAACAAGAGAGAGCACTTTGTCCCAACAGATGTATGGCATTGAGGTACACTGCCATGGGAATACACATGGAGGTGAGGAGACCAGAGCTCACGCTGCAGTAGTCAGGGCTGTAGTTCAGGCTTCAGTCTGGAAAGTGGGATGAATAGAAGGCAGCAGCCAGTCTCTACTACTAAAAGGGATCCCACACTCAGGCAGATCTGGAAAGAACTTTGGCATGCCAGATTGAGAAGGAACAAAAGTCCTCACTGTAAGATCTTGCCAGGTTGTTGAGCCAGCCTGATCTGACTGCACCAAGCTCACCCAATCCACACAAATTATAGTCTCAAGTCACTCTGCAGTGTGAACTCTAGAGTATTTTTCTTACGTACTTCTGCAGCATGGCTTTACCTTCCTCTGTTTCTTACATTCCCATATAGCAGACCATAGGCCAATCCTTTTGATGGTGATGCTCACACTCAAAATTATTCATGATCCCATCATACACACACATCCACATATACGTACATACATAGTCTATACCACACTCAAATGCTCACCTCTCACACACCACCCCACTGTGCTCACAGACACAGTCAACTTATACACATACCAGCAGGCCTCTCAGCCCATAGATGGGAAGGAAGCACGTGGAAGCAGAAGCCAGGACCTGTAACTCTCCCATTCTAAGTTGTAAAATGGGAAGGAGGGAATCAGGCAGTCTTTCAATCACTTTCTACATTTCAATGTCTGTGGCATTATAGTTCCCCTCTTTACACAGGAGTTTCAAATTCAGCATAGTTGGGGAGAAGGGACAGCAGAGAACTTTAGTGCCTGGGGTCTAAGCACGATGCCCTTGAGTATGGAGCCTGGTGAACCTGGCAGCCACTAGAATGAAAGGACCACCTTGGGCTGTCGATTCTATTATGGAAATGCTAGGTCCTTACTGGTTCTCCTCTCTGCCACCTGGAAAGACACTGGTTCCCTAAGTTCCTTGCTGCTGTGTAGGTATAAAGACCTGTCATCATCATGTTTTGATTGGTACAACTGGGCCATTTCTCACAATGCTTCCACTGAGACAGCCAGAACATGCAGCCCACAGCCTCTCTCCTCCCTTGGGCTTGCCTCCTCATTCTCATTTGGTGCCTGAATTCAGTGCTTGTCCAGAAACCAATATGTGTTTCAATATGTAGACAAGAACCTAGAGTAACACCTGCCCAGGCTATGTTCCCCAAGGCAGGGGGTGTGAGATGAGAGCTCCAGCCCTCTGTTCCAGGATCCTTGCTCCCACTCCATTCCAGCCTACCCATCCACCCCTGGCTCCAGACCTCCCCTACAAGTGGTTCTGTTGACCTCTTGAACATTCACCTTCATGAAATCTTATAGCTGGGTCTTCTGGTCTTTTCCTAGATGCCAAGAAGAAAGAAGACAGCAAAGCCACCATGGAGCCTGAGCCAGTGAAACCGGAAGGGGTAGTGGTGAATGGGAAGGAAGAGGAGCCAAGTGCAGAAGAGATCCTCAGCAAAGGACTGGGCCAGATGACCACCAATGCTGACACTGATGGTGACAGCTACAAGGACAAAACTGAGTCAGTTACCAGTGGCCCCTTGTCCCCAGAGGGTTCACCCTCCAAGTCACCCTCCAAAAAGAAAAAGAAATTCCGAACCCCCTCCTTCCTGAAGAAGAGCAAGAAGAAGGAGAAAGTGGAATCCTGATTGGTGGCTCCTGCTGTATCCCTGCCCTCCTTCCCTGCCCTTCTCCCAACTCTGCCCCTGGAGCATAGGGCCAATGAGGTATAGAGAAGGACCTGGGATCGCACTCAGAGGGGGGCTTAAAGCCAGCCTTCCCAGAGAAAACAGGTATCTTGCCCACAGTCGCAGTTAGTTGGTGGCAGGGCCTGCCCTAGATTTGAGCTTCCTGACTACCATGGTCATGCTCTATCCTCTGTTCAACACTGCCTAGTCCTAGGCTGCCTTTGTTAGGACACCACCTGCCAGCCTGAGCCCAGGGCAGGAAGGCCAAGCACCAGGCATGGTCACAAATGCTCACAGGCTAAGACTTCCTCTGAATGAGGTCCATCTCTTCCCAGGAATCCTGCCTCTTGCTGATGGAGCTGTCTCCACAGCAAGAAGCCGTGCTTCTCTCTTCCATTTTGGGTCCCTTCCCCTGTTCAAAGTAACTAGGCAAGCTGACCTGTTCCCCTTCCCCCCAATAGAAGTTAATCTTTGATCCCCAGGCTGATGGCTTAGCTTGTACTTTTCCAAACACTAATCCTAAGCTTTCGACATAGAACCCATTGAGTGATGGATGGAAGAACCCCAAGAACCAACAGATAGAGGGCAAGCCAAGTCAGCTTAATGAGTGGACAGGGGCCATAAATTTAAGAGCCTAGGATCCTGGCCTGTCTGTATTATGCATTTCAGGCTGCAAAATTAAGCCCAACAGTAGCAAAAGAAAAGGTCTCATGCTCAGGATAGAAATTCGAGGACATCTAAATTTTGTGCTGGAGTTGAGTTTTGCAAGGAGGGTCAAATGCCACTTTGGCTTTGCCAAAGGTGTCCTTTGGCCTTCCCACATGCCCTGACAGAGCCCTTACCCATAGACCAGAACATCTTACTCTTGGCACCTTGACCTTAGCTCTTTGGGTCCCCACTCTGAGTCACAGAAGGTCCAGCATATGACAGTCAATAATGAGTCTTTCTGGGTTATTTCTCACCAAGTTCCAGAGACATGCCTGGCATTCCCAACCTCATCACTGTCTTGCATCCTGGACTTGGTGATAGGCACAGCTATTATAGTAAATGCCCACATTTTTCCATATCTTCCCAAGGAGAAGTGTTGGCTAATAATGAACACTTCTGGCTCTAAGACAATCCATCTTCCCTAAAGCACAGCATCTTCAAAGAGCATTTCTCTTCTTTGTCCAGATTATTGTAAAGGTATTTTTGAATTTTCTTGACTCACCATCATTTTTCACTTTGCACACTTGCTGTCTACAGACACCATACAGGCTTTACCCTCTGTCCTCTCAGTGTCCCATTCCTCCCTTTTTGTGGTAAGAAAACTGAACCCCATCAGGGATAAATGACTTGCTGAGCAAGAGCTCAGGCTGGGTTTGAACCCAGGTAAGTCTGAGCCAAGTGCTGGCTCTTCCCAGCTGTGGTGAATGGACAGTGGCTTTGCCCCATTAGCCATTTCTGCACCTGGTCTTGGCTGTGTGGTGTTAGCACTTGGGATGAATTTAAAGAGGTCACCTGTTGTCACCCTAAGTGATGCAGTCACCGCCTGGTGACCATGGGTAGTGGTAAGACCTATGTCTCTGACAATGTAGAGCTGAACCCTCTGGCTGCAACGAGAGAGCCCCCACACTTGTCTTGAGCAGATCTGTGGCTTCTGCCCAGGCCCTGTTTTTGCTCTGCTTCCTAGTTGGGTCTAATCTAATGACAGACAACCCAATGCCCCTGTGTGTGAATGCTCAGAAACTTCTACAGGAGATGCTTTCTTAGAAATAAGATTTCACACCCATATTCTCTTAATAGTCAGATGGAAAAAATAAAAAAAGATGAGAGGTGTCAACCCTGCCTAGGTGTGTGTGAGCTCAGGATGAAGTCTGTTGCCGCTGCCCAACATGCTCCCTTTGTTACCTTTATGACAGTGAGGCTTGCTTAGGATAAAGTGTCAGAACTTTGCTGGAGTGTCATCTTTGGAGTCAAGGCCCTGAGTTCAGCTCATACTGTTCAGAAAACACTCATCTGTGAACATGTGAGACATGTAGACAAGTTATAGAACAGGCAAGCCAGGACAACAATGACTGGCCATCCAGTCTTCCTGGGGCTGGGCATAGGGAAGCCTTCTGGAAAACTGATGGCTGAATCAGATTTTAAAAACAGAGAGGAACTTCCCTGGAGCAGGGGGAGGGGGCATACTCCACAAACTGTCCTGCAGAGCCAGATAGTATTGTCAGAGCATTATGTAAAAGGTGACAGAAATGGTTTACATTCCAGGTGGGCAAGGCTGTGTCATAAGAAGACTTGTAGACAGGGTGGGAGATCTGTTCATTAGGGTAGAATCATAAATAAAAGTATGTTGTAGAGCCATTTTGGTGGTTAAGTGGAGAGAGTGTGGGTAAGGCTGCTGGCTCATCCTGTGCTGTGTTCTCTCCCACTGTACCAGTAAGTTTCTAGCTTAAAATTCCTCTCATGGGATTCTTGGGATAAAAACACCTGAAGAAGTTTTCAAGAGCTAATAACACTGGGTTCGCAGCCTCAGGCCCTGTTTTGCTTTGCAATGAAATGATGGGAGAAGTATAAAGATATTTTGTCTATTCCCTTCTTCCCTTGTACATAAAGGATGTGATGTGCACAACTCTGAGGACTGCAGAGATGGCTGTACAGCCCAGATAGGGCATTTTCTCTGGCTTTCAAGTAAAAGTCCATGGTCCAACTAATGAGGAGGGGTGTTTGCAAATTCAGAGTTTACCAGCCATTGGCCTCCTTTTCACTGAGCCACTGTAATTGCTGCCAAGAAGGGTAGTGGTGCTACTGTGGGACCAACTGATTGGAAAATTGAAGCAGCTTCTTGACCTGTTCCCACACACAGGTGCCCAGAAGTAGGACAGAGAGAGGCAATCCTGGTCCCTGTGATGTCACATGCTGGAAGTGGTTGTGATCTGTGAGGGCTACCTGTTTTGTGTGCCCATTCCCCAACCCGGGGTTGGGAGAACCTACCCAGAGATGCCCTGCACTCTAGCCTGTATCTGAGCTTCTTATCAGCTGAGTTGAGGTCTTCTCCCTCTTAAGTCATGGAAAGAGCCAGGTGCCACTTCCTAATGAGTGTGAAGTCCTTGTTCTGTGGACAGGGGATGAGGGACACTGCTCTAAGCCACCCAATCATGGAGACCATGCCTGAACCTAACCCCTATAGATTAACAATGTGGCAAGATGGCAGGCATCTGACCTTGTGGTAACAGGGCCACTGCTCCTTTGAGGTGAGCAGAAATGCTGTAATGGGTTTGAAAGAACCATTTGCCCCAGAGTGAAAAAGGTTAGATCTACATTTGCTTAGGGACAGGACATGCCCTATGTAGGCCACTGTGCCAGGCCTAAGTGTGAATTCATAAGTGTGAATTTTATGTCTTAATTCTAGGCCAAATGTAATTAGTTCTTGACAGCTGAATAGGACTATTGAAACTTTCACCCCTTGTTTATTTTACACATGTGGTCCCACAAATACCCTTCGCTCTTCGCATAGAACAATCCACTGTGGCCAGAGAGGCTATGGGGCCTCTTACAACATTTCTTGTCACTAAGCCCAATTGAACTTTTCCATGGCCCCATGTTGTAATTCAGAAAATCTGAGAACTGAGTGGAATGCCAGATATCTGCTCTTTGCTCCCATGGACAGGACAGGGCACATCACAGCTTAATAGGACATCATGCCTGTTCCATGTGTGGTTTGAAACAGGTGATTTAATGTGAGAAGAAAGGTCCAGAGGCCACTGAAGTTCTCAAAACACGGTCATTTACTTTCTATGCACACATCCTCTTTCTCCAATGTGAAGAGGCACCTACAGAGCCCTATCTAACTAGGAGGTGGTACTCATCTATTCCCAAGGCTCCTGACCCCCTTCTGCTAGGGGGTCTCTGGGGATTTCACACAGTGGAATAGCCTGCAGGGGACAAACCATCTTCCATCAACGTTGCATGGCAGTGCCCTAGTGGGCTTCTTTTCACAGGGATAATTAGCAAGACTCAGTATTTGGGTGTCCCTGGAAAGTATGGAAATCATGCCCTGCCTCATTCACATATGGCTATTAGTTTTTTTCCAGATTGACTTTTGTGCCAGCTGTCTTCAAGACAGAGGAGACTCATGGTGCTGGGAGGGGCTCAGGTGCAGGCTAGCCTGAGAAGGGTCCTCAGCTGCTTCCTCACCCTCTCTGTCCCAAGCACCTGAGTGAGGCTGGACCCTGAGTATACTTCCCTTGTCTCTTGGGTAGAGATGACATCACCAGAATTCAAGGAATATTGAGAAGGACCTAAGCTCTTCTCTTTGGCAAACCAGCCTGTGGCCCCTTTAACATGAATAGGGATGGCAGCTGGACCTAAACCAGGGGGTCTCACTTGGGAAACATCACAGACCCTTACATGATGTCAGTAAGGTTGGGGAAGCTTCAGACCCTCATTTCAATGCCACCTTGTGTCTGTGGGTCTTACTGTATTAGTGACTCATACCACAAAATTCCCTGTCTGTAAATTCCTTGAACTGCTAAGGGTGATGAGTCCCAGGATCCTCCCTCTCCTAGAAGAGATTGGACAGAAGGAGGCACCTAGCAGGACCCATGGGGTGCAGGGTGGCAGGAACCCAGGCTGGCCAGGGAGTATGGTGTCTTGTATGCAATGATGTGGGTAGTGTTGGTGAAATGTCTGTCGGACAATCATCACATGAAAGTTATAACTTACTGTCTTCCCTTGTACATAGGCTGTGTGTATTGGACTTTTCCTAGTACTGTGAGGCTTTGAAGAGGGATTCAGTGTAATACTCTGTGCTGTGACATGTTGCCCTCCCCCCCCCCCACCACCGAGATCACACATCGTTCCCACAAATGGTTCTGCCTTTCTGTATGCTAACACATTGAGCCACTGATGAGCAGTTGGATGGTTAGGCTTATGGGTTTTATTTTGCAATATATATATATATATATATATATATATATATATATATATATATTGCTTTATATGGTTTTCTGTTTGAATCTATGAGCAACAAAGCTTCCCTTTGATTTCCATGAGATCTTTCTAAAGGCCTTTTTCTGCTTTGGTATCTGACTGTGTTTGGGGTGGATTCTGCCCATGGTTTCTGTGTGTATGCTGTTATTTCACCTGCAGATCTTACCCTAGTAAACCAGATGTGCTTGGCTTCCACTCTGTCTGCTACTCGGGGCTCTGGTTCTTGGGGAGGTGGAAGTCAGGAAGGGGGCCCATGTGTAGAAATATGAATCACACAGGGAACTTTAACCTTTTTTACATGTAGAAAGCTGAACACAGATATTGCTAAGTTCTGATGTGGGAGGGGAAGCCATGAAACAGTCCTCTGAGCAAGAGAAACTGGGTGGGGCCGACACAGTTGCAAAGGCTGCTTTGCAGCAGATAAGACAGGAGCAGTCAAGATGGCTGGCCCTGCATTTGCAGGTGTGGAGACCAGTGTGGAGGCAGATGTTAGACCAGCAGC